CCCGGGTGGTCTGCCGCTGCCCTTGCCCCTACCGTTGCTCCCACCTCTGCTGGGACTGTCCAGGAGGCCGGAACACCATCATCATCATTTGCCAAGCATGGTTCACCAGATACAACCGAGCACCAAGGAGGATCCCTAGGATCTTGTGCGCTCCTCGTCCGACGAGCTCGATATCGTCGCCCCTTGACATCGGCCGCGTTTCTTGTCGGGGATGATGACGAGGTTGCAGTCAGGTCGTTGCACGATTCTCGAGGGTGGTCGTCGGGCGAGTTCACAGGTTTTTCCCAAGTTTCGAGACGCTGGATCGCGTTTATCCCTGTGCCTCTTGCTTCCCCTTTCATTTTGTTGTTTAAGAATGACAATATTAAGGAAACGGTTGGATCTTTGAGGGAATTGGTTTGGAATTTGGAACGATTTTGAAGGATGGTTTGAGGATGGTAGGCAGTACGAGGATGAGGTTTTATTAATTGGCGAAGGATCGTTAGCGATTTTGAGAATAATTTCTTCTTTCTCTTTTGAACCGGAGAACGATACACTGGTTGGTAAGTTTTAAAAAGTTTTATCCTTTTTTTTGGATTTGTAATTAATTATGTACAATTAGAGATGTTTAAAGAATATTATAAATCATATAAAAATGAAAATAGATAAATAGTAGTACAGGTTGTTACGAAGAGAATGTAAATTGAAAATGCAATATTGAAATGTGCCTCCCCTTTTTAATTAGATTTTTAATAGATTGATAATTGAAATTTAAATATGGAAGTTTGTGTATTATATATGTGTATATATGTGTGTGTACATACGTATTCGATTTGTTATTTTCAACGTATCTTTTAAAGTATCACTTGTCTCTATTTTAACTTAACTTCTAATTTTGAGATTTTAAGATTTTATTTTTTTGTTGAAGGTAAAGGTAAATATTTTCTAACCGTGCCAGAAATATTGCAATTCTTAAACGCTATAACCATTTTTTTAAAAAGAAAAATCATTCGCTCAGTCACGAATAAACTTTTTCTTTTTCTTTTTTCAATCGAAAGGGAATCGTTTCCTTTCGAAAATTATTTACCGTTCAATTAAAAGTTAAAATCAAATAATGAAACCAATTTTGAGGAATTACAAATAATCTATTTCCACTACGATTCGTCAATAATAGCTCGATGAAAGTACAATAAAAGCTTTTAAAACTTTTTATGCCTCGAATCTTGTTCCGTTATCGAATAAATATATATATATATAAAGATACAAATCCAATGACACAATAAATCTAAAATTTACGTCCACGATGAAAAATCGAACTTGCACGTTTCAGGTTGATTCTTTTCTAAACAAAAATCATCCTTTTATCAACGTTAAATTGAAAAAGAATACTTTCCAAATCCTTTTTCGCATCGTCGATCGATAAATGAATCGACTCGTTAATTTCGAACGCGTAAAATTTCCAAAATCTTTTCTCATTTAACTCTTCCTTTTCTTTCCTCCCCCCTTCCTTCACGTGAATGCATATTTGCCTTAACGAAAAACCATGAAAGTCTATCAATTCAACGAATATCGAAGAATAGAATTCGAATTCTGAAATCTGTAAATAATTCACGGAACAAAAGATTCGCAGTGGATTGTTATATAATACAAATAAAGGTATAAAATGTGTACGAGAGATCGATCTAAGTTAGAGAACTACAACTACAATATCGCTTCTCTGGATTTCACGAAAAGTTAAGCATCACAAGGACCAACACGTGCCTGATGCGCTCTAATTGCCCGACAAGCGAAATTGGATGTTTTTAGGAACGTTCGTATATCTGAACAACGGCCAGAATTTAGATAATTTTTAATTTATTTATATAGGCTCGAGGGTAAAACGGATATCCGTATTTCTACGACGAGAAAATACCCGATTCGGATGAAATTTTAAACAAGTATTTATAATTAAAAAAGTTTTATAATTTTGGTGTGATAAAATAATTGCAAAAAAAATAAATCGTCCCGTTCATTTTAACGAATCTAACGATTTCGAGTCGTTAAAGTGAAGAAAAAAAAAAATATATATATATATATATAGAATTAACGAAGAAAAGAACAAAGTATTTTTATCATGACTCAAAAAAGAAGGGGAAAAAGAAATACACAATATTCATAGTCTACGATCCAATAGCAATGTTCGATACACGAGATAATTTATATTACGTGATAGGATAATTTCTATTATCACCCTTAAATCGAGTCTATGACAATTTTCTTGAATTATATGATTACTCTATCGCATTATTCAAATAATACGGACATCCGTATTATCCGAGTAACACGGATATCCGCTTTACTCGCGCGGCACAAGCACGCGCCGGTTGAAATAATGTTTCTATCACTGGACGAGGAAAAAAAAAAGAAAAAAAAAGAAAAGAAAAGAAAAGAAAAGAAAAGAAAGGAAAGGAAAAATAAGAATAGAGAGGTGTAACAAATTACTGTCGCATCGGATATTCGAATATGCTCGTCACCCTGACGATAACGGACATCCCTCTGAGAAGGGATGCTCGTTATTACACGGTATTAATTTTTCAAGGAAAATTGCAAAAGATTTTCCTAATCCTTTTAGCAAAGGATGGAAGATAAAAATCTTCAATCTCGGTAATTATCGTTTGGATTCGTAAAAGGGGAATAAAGATATTGGATCGAGGTATAGAAGGAATAACAAAGTGCGATAACAAGGCAAAAATGGAGGGAATATGGTGTTAAATCTTTGCTTTGTTACGATTCGTTTGGGAGGAAATAATGCGTATATATTTAATTCTTCTAATTTCACACGATTTGTTTACAACAATTTTTGAATGAGAATGAACAAGAAAAAAAAAAAGTAAGGGTGTCGAGCATCCTCATTTAAGAAGATAGACACGTTAATCGACGATTGATCGTACATGCCTTAAGAAAAAAAAAATAATAATAATTTCCAACAGCGTGACAGTATAATTTTAGAGAAGCGAGGAGAGGTAAGCTGTACTGTACTGCACACGAGTGTTAATCAATCGTAGAGAAGAGGAGGAAAACGATATAAAATGTGATTATAAATAGTATCTCAACATAGTATCTCTACGATTCGTGCTCGTGATTGATTAACGATCGTTTCGTTTGCGTTGCGATTTCGACGCGTTCGAATTTGTTCTTATGGATTACGAAAGCGTG